ATATTCTATGTTTATTATAATAGTATAATGTTTTTTTCTTTGCCCTGGTTGGCAAAGAATCAGCTTACTTTTAATCCTAATTACATACATAAATAAATACATAAATAAAGATGTGAAAAGCCTAATGAGCTGAACTGATGATGTACCGTATCTGTGAATCTTGAGTGAATCCTCAGTTCATACATTTTTTTGGCAGTAGCTACAAAACAAATCTCCAGCCGCACAGTACTGAACACGTGGAACTCTGCAGCAGCTGGAGTGGGCGTGTTTTCCTTATCATCCAATCCACAGCTGCGCTTCAAAGAGAGGCTTGGAACGCACTTCTTTGTGTGGAGGTTACCATGGGGACGGGTACACACAGACTCCCTTGAGCTGGCACTGGGCCATGCAGGTGAAGGAGAGGGGGCGGGGCCCTGGGATCTCCTGTGACTGATGAGTGAGTGTTGCGGAGAGGATGCACAGCTCTCCGGAGGGGACAAGGTGAGGATGGGGGGACTCTGCGAGGGGGACTCAGACATTGGGGGTAAAGGGAGCTGCATTTTAAAGGTAACATTGCTGCCTCCATTCCCTGACTTCTAGGAACAACTTCTGCCTTTAAATCATGTCCCTGGAAATTGTATAGTGTGATATCCCCAGTGCTTTGTACTTGTTATTGTCTTCTGTGATACTTTGTGACACTTTTTTTCATATTTTTTTCATTATCTTTATTGAAAAGACACTTGCGGACATTGCACTATATAATCTGTACCGGGGGGGGGTCTATGATGGTCCATTAGGGCCCATTCACACCACATCCAGATCACCTCCAGACCAGACCACAGTATTTCTGGACCCAAAATGCGTCCCAATGTATTCCTATGCTATTTCTGGCCTCTGTTCATACCAGCGCAGTCCGTTCTGGAACAGACCAGAATAATACTACTTGTCCTATTTTGTCTGGTCTGGAATGCACTGGAACGCATCAAAATGCATCAAAAACGCATGGAACGCACCTGTAAGATCATTTTAAGTTAAAAAAAATATATATATGTATTTTTTTTTTTAATTCAAATTGCAGCAAAAATGCAATGCACTATGTTCCAGATCTGGTTCTGGAAAATGGTGTGAACCCAGCCTAAAGCCGGGGAATAGACTCAAACATTACATGTGCGCCAGAAAAGCATTGCAGGAGATTGTATGTATAGTCAGAGGGGTTTTCTTGGGGAGGGGGGTTTAGAGTAGCAGATGGTTACAGTTGCACTCCAGGCAGATATAAAAGACAAGAAGATCAATGCCGCTTTTTATTTCATATTCATGTGTAATTCATATACATCATAACATGTATTTTTGCGAGCACAAACAAGGTAAGTACCTAAATATGACCTGGTATCAGCCTTTTGCAGCTCCTGCACAGCACAGCTCAGACTTGGAGAGGGAGAAGCAGGTGTGCTGCGCTGACAGGAGAATGCTGATAAGAGGAGAGAGCAGAGTGACAGAGAAATGAGATGCTGCTGCTTCCACTTTCACTGCCCAGTCACAGGCTGGGGGAGGGACAAGATCTGTAATGGCCTATTCACACTTTGGCATTCTTGTGCTTGGGTGGGAAGGTAAGTTAAAGGGAAACTGCGACAAAGAAAGATCAAGTCCCCTTCCCCCTCAGAAAGTGCAGTGCTGTGTGGTGGGTTGGTGTAAATCTCAGGACAATGCACCCCAGCTCGTTATGTGCCCACTGATGTGAACAAGCCCTTAGGTGATGAGGACGGATTTAAGAGGAACTTCACCCTCCCAGTGAGGTGACACTCGACAGTGATACAATTACATGCGGTTAGGAAGAAATCACGATCCCTGGACACCTCAATCTTGGCAATCTCCGGGGTTATTGTCTTACCCTGGAGCATGATGCGGCGTGTTTGCAGACACGCCACTGGTTTCTGCCAGGTATCCAGGTATGACATCTCCAGTGCTTCCAGACTCTCTCCCCCTCCTCTGCAGAGGTCTAAGGTCCTGTAAATCATCACATTCTATACACAGTGTATAGACCTAAGGATGCTGAGAAACATTCCATTGCTACAGCGTAGGAGGAGCATATGGATGTACGGGTGTACAGGTTTTCCAGGTAGAGATGTACAAGTACGGATCTGCAGGTACGGATGTAATGTATGGATGTACAGGTACGGATCTGCCGGTATGGATGTAAGGTATGGATATAAAGGTACGGATGTACAGGTATGGATATACAGGTATGGATATACAGGTATGGATGTACAGGTACGGATGTGCAGGTATAGATGTAGGGTATGGAAGTAAGGTACGGATGTGCAGGTATGGATGTAGGGTATGGAAGTAAGGTACGGATGTGCAGGTATGGATATACAGCTATGGATGTACAGGTATGGATGTAAGGTACGAATGTACAGGTATGGATGTACAGGTTGGGGTGTACAGGCATAAATGAACAGGTACGGGTGTACAGGTAGGGATGCACAGGTATGGGTGTACGGGTATTGGTGTACAGGTATAGATGTACAGGTATGGATGTATGGGTGTACAGGTAGGGATGTATAGGTATGGGTGTATGAATGTACAGGTATGGGTGTACAGGTAGGGTGTACATGTATGGTTGTACGGGTGTACAGGTAGGGTGTACATGTAGGGATGTGCATGTATGAATGTACAGGTAGGGATGTATAGATATGGGTGTGCAGGTACGGGTGTACATGTATGGTTGTACGGGTGTACAGGTAGGGATGTACATGTATGAATGTACAGGTAGGGAATGTATAGATATGGGTGTACAGGTACGGGTGTACATGCTTGAAGCGGTATTTACCATGATACAGCTGCAGCCGTCATTGATTTATACAGGCAGCCTGTAGCCTCCGGGACCAAGGAATCCGGCCATTGTTTACAGTGCATGGCCGTCTGTGCCCATGTGGATAAACTGTATGAGGGATCCATGTACTGTGACTACCTCCCTCCTACAATTCGATCACCATATAATGTACTGTACAGGATTACTCATTACACAACCCGGCCTGCCACGAGGAATCTGAAATGTCCCCAGTGAATGGAAGGGAGAGGCTGTGGTTACACTGTAATTGTGTACATAGTAGAAGGGATTTTGGCATTCAGTATTATGCCAGTATTAGTAAAGTGTACAGAGATTTCCACTTACATGGCTGCTGGGTGTGTTCGTTCACCCAAAGTCTGTTTTTGGCAGCGATGAGCCAATTAAATTCATCAATCAATCCTAAAAAGTTTAAAGAGAACTAAAGCCAAACCTTTTTTTGTTGTTGCTTTAGTCCTCTTTTTGTCCCCCATTGACTCAAAGTCAGCATCTAGCAAGCTACTGCCCACTATTTGCTGACAGTGCAGAGCCGCGCTGCAGCCATTATTGTCAGGATCCACCCTGCTGCTTGATTGACAGCTGGCTCTGCCTCTCTAGAGTCAGCGTCAGCTATGCCCGCCCCCTCCCCTGTCTGGCCCTCCAATGAGCGTTGGAGGAACAGAGAGGGGGGGGGGGAAATCCCTGCAGGGGACAATGACTGACAGTCACCACTCTGCAGGGAGAAGATCGTGAGCTGAGTAATCAGCGGTTTCTGATCGCTCAGCTCTCGATCTGTATCGATGTTTATATATATCGATCAAAGTATTAGGAAGAGTACACTTTACTCTCCCAATACTTGCCCTTTAAATTTACCGTTCGCTGCTCATGGTATCCAGTCCACCTAAAATGAGTGTCATGGCCGAGTCTCCTGTGGGCCTCTTACATCTCCTGGAGATTTTAGTGACCAGATTTCTCCACCATAACATAGGGCTCTGTTCTTCCATCCCTGGAGTCTAACTCCAATCCCACGAGACATCAGAAACTGATTTAAAGTGAACTGGTAATAACTAGAGATGAGGCAGGTCTTGGTAGGAACCCAGTTTTCATGAGTTTGCCCAAGCCCGCTGAAAACTGTGACCGCCACTCCCCCCCTCCTGGCTAAATCAGTGGCAGTAGTTGCAGAAGGACATTCTATGCCCCTTGGTGACATAAAGCTGTGGGGGGTAGGTGGGGATGGGAGAAGGGGGGGTGTCAGTCACTGTTTTTAGCTTGCTTGAGTGAACCCAGGGTGTCATCACTATGAATGCCTTCTGAGGAAGCAATCTAAAGTAGGGTATACATATATCAAATTTCGCCTGGGGTCTGATGAAACGGACAAAATTCGCACACTGGTGCCTCTGTCGGCACTCTTCCAGCCAGCATCCCTCAATCAGCTGATTGACGGAACAGTTGCTTCAATAATTCTTGGCCAATTAGCTACAGGCTCCTTTTCGGGTTATCCCGCCTCATTTCCAGACTAGAGGACATTCATCATCATCTAGCACTTTCCTCTGCAGCCTGGCTGTCCCTTCCCTGCCCCTTTCAAGAACCAGGAAAAGCATAACATAAGCAGATTAGACTTCAGTTTTATACCTGCGGGCAGAATTAATTTGTGTGTTAGTAGAATTGTAAGTCAAAGAACACACGATACACTTTTAAACAATCAGACGTTGCCCTGTTGCTGATTTAGCACCAACACGTTGCATTTTCCATGACCGTCAGACCATCTTTGTGTACAGCCTGTAATAAGCATGTAGCCAGTAATTATTGTAATTGCTTAGTTACTGCTATTTACCTGACAGCAGAGCAGCAGGAAATGCATCTCATCATCTGTGCTGGAAATCCCCTCTGTTTCCGTGAAAAATGTCCTTCTGCCAATAGGGCTCGGCAGTGTTGTATCGGTAAGATGAACTATATGGCCACAAGTATGCAGACACCCTCCAGATGAATGACTTCAGATGTTCCCAATGAAGGGTGTTGTTAATGCTACCAAATTACAAAGAAAGATATTATTAGACAATTGTGAACTTCCAACCTTGAGGAAGACCCTTTTCAGTTCCAGCATGATGGTGCCCTTGAGGACAATGCCAGTTCCATAAAGTTGTGATGAGTTTGGTGTGGAGGAATTCAAAAGAGAACTATGGGGTAAACTTTTTATCCCATAGTTCTCTTAAGAGTCATGGGAGGACATATACTAACCTCCTCCCGTGCCCCAAAGCTCAGTATATAGCGAGCTATTGCCCGCGTTATACTGAGAGCACCGCACCCGGGACGGATCCCGACAATACTGTCGAGATCCACCCAACTGGCTGTTGACAATGGGCTCTGCCTATCTAGAGGCAGAGCCAGCTGTGCCCGCTCCCTCTCTCGTCCATTCTGCCAGTCAGCACTGACAGCGCTCTCTGCAGGGAGATGTTCAGAAATGTACGGTATGCGTACACTCACTTCCCGATCAATAGAGCCGACGTGTGACAGTTTAATTGTCACACGTCGACTCTAACTATGAGGATGGGTGTAAATCACTCACCTCATAGTTCTCCTTTAAGTGGTCTCCACTGAGCCCAACCTTAACACTTTACAACACTATTGGGATGACTCATAACATCTTCGAGCCAGATCTTATCATCTAACATCATTACCTGACCGCAAAAATGGGTGCAGATTTCTACAGACACACTTCAGAATCTTGTGAAGAGTAGAGGATGTTATAGTTGGAAGGGAGCAACTCCATGTTAATGGCCATGATTTTGGAATGGCATGCCCATCAACCTCATATAGAAGTGATGGTCAGGTGTCACAAACATTTGGCCATATAGAGTATGTCTGTCCCCATATACAAATATAATTACAAACTGTATATAGAAACAAGGTTGTTTTGAGCGGTGGTTTTCAACTGGTGGGTCACGACCCAAAAGTGGGTTGCCACGTGCCTTCCACTGCGCTAGTGCCTTCCACGGCTCCTCATCCTCCCAATAGTGCAGCACTGTCAGTCCTTGCGCTGTGCAGCCATACAAAATATGCTGCCCAGCGCCGAGTGTCATCTTTAGGTGAAGTGGACTGGGGGTATGGCCGTCAGGGAGCTCCATCCATACATGCATTGCTTACAGTTCCCTCACATTGCCTGTACAGGTACCTGGACCTTGATAAATCTGTCACACATGGCTGCAACTTGCTGGAAAATCTCCCTCTGAATGTGTCATTTCCTCTGCTCTTTATAGGAGGAGAATGATATCAGCTGATTTGCATATTAGTAGTCCCTTTCAGAAACAACTGAGACTGAATAGTTAGCAGGTCATACTCTCATACTAAAACAGCTCTGCCTTAAAGAGGAACTGGAATCTGGACGCTGTACCCAAAAAAAAGGCATGCCTTGTTCTGGACTGTCTCTGTGTCAAGATGGCCATGGTGATAAAGGCAGGGCTGTGCCTCCTCGTCAGAGCCTCCAGCAAGCAGAACAGTGAGCAGCAAAATAGTGACATCACCAAATCTCCAAGACTAGCAGTCAGAGGCAGCAGTGCCTTAGATCGCACACTGCAGATCTACAGCTATGAGGCTGTAGACAAAGGAGTGCCTAGACACCCTCACATACCAGGAAATGCACTGCTAGTTTTCAGGAGAATTCCAAGATAAAAGGTAAAAAATATTTAAGGGTCCTGGTTATGCTCAATTAACATTTCTAGAAGTTCCCTTTATCATAGCAAATCTTACCAAGTTCAGTTCCACTTAAATAAAACTATTGGTAGTTTCATAAAAGTTGCATTTCAATATTGAAAGGCCAAGGAAGACACCCAATGATGGTCTTTGCTGATACAGACACCTCTGTTCTCTACATTTTTATATGTCCACTCTGATATCTGTTTTTTTCTTGCTATTTGTTATTTGAAAATGGCACGGCCTCTATAATTGTGATTTTCTTTATGGCGTTCAGGATAGTGATGCAATATTTTCTCGCTTTGTATAGAGAACATTCGGTTGTGTTCTAAGCTCCATCTGACGTATCATGTGTGATGAGGTAGAAAACCAAGACGTTCCTTCAGAACATAGCAGCAGCGGGAGCCAGTCAGAATCGGTATGTATTCTTTTATTCATACTTTTTTGTATTTCTTCTAAGGAACGTTCATTGAATATCGAAACAAAAGGAAAAAAAAAAGACCTTTAGAAGTTGTATGCAGAATGTTCCATTGGTGAAATACTTATTTCTTTAAGGGCTGAAAGCTTTGTCGCAGGAGAGCACAAGAGTCATTAGGCCCAATTGGCTAAACTTTAAAGATCATTACAAGCCATGACAAGCATTATTTTCACCAATAAAAGCTGAAAATAAAAACCACACAGCTTAAAATAATGATCAGCATGGTAAATAACACATCCTATAGCTTAGTGGATTGAAAACGTTGTCTTCAAATCAGTGGGCAAAGTGTGCCGGAACCGGAGGGGATCTGATGTCTTTGGAGAACTCCCAGACAGATTTAGCTGAAGCTTTTGGTGGGGATGCAATGGTACTTGTAGGAAAACCTTCTTTGATCACTTTTTTTTTCCCCTTCTAATAAGCCAGTATTAGAGATATGGCCTTGTTTTATTCCTATGGGGAAAACCATACTTTGCAGGACCACTGGTGGCCCCCATAAGCACGGCTCCTCACATAGAAATGAATGGGGCCATGGCACACATGTTTGATCTTCCCCCCCTCCTTCTAGTAAGCTAGTATTAGAGATATGGCCTTGTTTTATTCCTATGGAGAAAATCATACTTTGCAGTACCACTGATGGCCCCCATAAGCCTTGGCTCTTCACATAGAAATAAATGGGGCCATGGCACACATGTGCAGGCTAAAGAAGAACCGGTGAGGATGTTTTCCAAAGCAAGGCATTGAGGACAACGGTAATCATAGGACTTGGTGGCCTACGCTCAGCAAGAGTACCTGCCATTCACTTAAATGTTGGTACACCTCACAAAATAGCACCACTATATGACTAATGACAGTGAATACAAATAAATATATAATCTTCTAAATAACGTTGCCAATTATAAGAATTGTTAGAATGATTAAGTATGCTTTATTAGCATTTTAGGAAATATATGTATCTGTTGGCAATGTTTTTATCTGCTATGTCCTCTCTTGTGAGATGTAGCGCGCACAGTGGCTTCTGTTGCTTGTCACACTTCACAATAGCAATAGATACAGGGCAGCTTAACAAGCTGTGAATGAATAAAAACTGAACTGTGCGTAACCTCTTTATGAGATCAGCCATCAGCCAGCAGAGTGTGAAAGTCATTGGTAGCCATGTTTGTGGGCATTGTACAATGAGGATAGAGAGTATTAAATGACAAAGTCAATGACCTTGGACTAGTCTATCTCAGGAATAGATGCGCTCCATTCTTTTAATGTGGAAAATGAGCCATGGCTCTCACACCATTAAAACTAACATAAGGTATTTCACTTATTTAGTTTTGCTATAAGCAAAATGAAATAAGGGAGGCAATGCAAGTATAAATCTCATCATAGGTTAGCCTGCACAGTTTTATTTCTTTGCAGCCCATCTCGAGGTAACAATAACCCCCTCCCACTCATTCCCTTATTCAAAAAAACAAACAAACCCTCTAACAACCTCTTTAACTTAAAGTGAACCTTTACCCCCTTTCACTAAAAATTACATTAGCTTGCATCTCTGCTCATGCTGATTTTAAAATCATCTTACATTCATTAGTTAAACCAACTTGTTTTTTATTTACTTTACAAATAGAGTTAATCTACTTCCTGGTCCACTTCTGGCACAAATGATGTAACGTGCCAAAGTACTGCATCCTGGGAAGGTAACATCAGCAGAGCATTGCTGGGAAATCTCATCTGTAATCTCATGAGATCTCAGGGAAATACATGTTCCTCCCCTAAGAGGATGTGCATGGTCACATGTCCTAGTCACTTGTACCGGAGTTCCAGGAAGTAGAGGGAGAGCTAGTAATCTGTCCTTAGTTAACATGGCCACTGTCAGAAGATTGGGAAAGAAAAGAGAAACAAGGTATGCAAAGAACACACAGCCGGCAATTATCTAGAAGTATGTGTTTGTAGATTGTCATTACTAAACATTTCTAAAGGTGCCTTTGTTGTTATTTTAAATATATGGGTAAAATTCCTCTTTAAGTCTGCCAACATGTGACCCTGTTCGGGGCGTATTCAAAGAGTGATGACCAGTAATACAGCATTGTCCAGGCCCACCAAAGTCCAGCCTTGTCTCTGCTCCTATTTGTGACAACAATATATCACTGCTGGAGTCTTCAGGATAAGTGAGGACCATACCATCTTAAAGAAACACTTTACCCTAGTACCATCCTTTTCCTAGTATCTTCCTTTTGGGTAAGGAGTGGCACAGTTTGATCCGTGCAGCATTTTACTGCTTTCATTGACACAGGCTAGGAGATGACCAGAACAATTGTGGGATACCAGAGAGCCAAGCTGCCTGGATTACCTACATAAACTGATTCACCATGCATCACCACACCAATGTAGGGATCCTAATTCTGCTCCTCTACTTTCAGCAATGCCTCTGTTAGTGAGGCATTAGACCTTAAGCTGAATGTGCTATTTTACAATTACAGCATTTCCATGTGGAAAAAGAATCTTGAAGACCCGGTGGAAACTCCTGTTCTACGTCTCTCAAAAGTTCCATAATTATATAGTTAGTCAGGTCAAAAAAAGACAAATGCCCATCAAGTTGTATGAAAATAAATAAATGTAATTTCCTTCCTTAGAACCCCAATCTTACAGTTGATTTAAAAGAAGTCAAAATACCCTGATAAAGTGTGATTCAATGTGCTCCAACAAAACAAAAACCCTTCCTGATCCCCAAAGGCAATCAGATACTCCCTGGATCAACATTCAACAGTGTTATTTATTATAAATTTTGATTGGCAGTTAAAAAAGTAAATAAATAATGCCCGGTTATGTATTAAACTGATCTGCTAAACTGCAACTGCTGTGATTGTGACAGATGAGGTTTAGTAGTTACCTGTGGCATGGTGTTATCCTAATGTCTTGCCGCCCCACCTGCAGTCCAAGGGCCACATGTGTCCCATTGGAAGTTATGGTGTGGCCTTTAGTCCCAATCAGCTAGTAACGGTAGTTGATCTGTAATGGCAGTAATCTTTAGCATGCTCATGTAACAGGTCAACCTGTCTCTTGGAGCAAATATATCTACCAGCTTGTATCATATCTACAGTCTCTAAAATTCTTCTGTAGCCATGACATATACTGAATATTATGTCCAACCTCTTGGTGATGTCAGGAGCTACAGTTGAGGCCCACTATATCTGAAAGATTAAGCACTACTAATGAAATTACATTTTGAGTCTGCTTATGTAGTCATCTTTTGCTTTGGCCATATTGGAGTTTGACACTGAGCTATGTGTGCTGCAGTCAAAGTCAGCAATACGGGCTGTTTAAGACTGCAGTCTGGCAAAGGTTGCTGGTTCCAACCATGTGCATTAGTAAGCGAGAACTGGGAGGTACTGAATTTTCCTTTACAATACCATACATTCTGACTAGGGGTCAATGGAAGGCCCTGGGCATCACCAAATGATGGAGGTCCTTTCTTTTTCTGCCCCGATCTCTATGTATCTAGTTGTCGTGCTGATGTGTGCTTACAAATTTAGCAGATGTAAAATGATTGTCAATGCCCTCTGTCGAACAAACAAAGGCTTTGTCTTCCAGACGACGATCAGCTTTGGAATAGGATACCTGTACTTTCCTATATCTTCGCAGGGACACTGGAAACATCGTCATCGCCTTCTCTTCATGAATTTCTAATGTGGTCCATAGGGCGGAGGAGGCTACCAGAGATAACAGCCTCATCTGCCTTTATCCCTGTTGACTTTGAGGTCGAAATGTTAATATACATTTTGCAATACAGCGGAAATCTCTGCGAATGTGGGATTACACATATGCTGACATCAAAGCAATGACTCAGGCCTTATCCATATTCTTGATCGAAGCTGCTGAGTGCCGTATCTGCCGGAGACACATGTGTATTCTGACTGCAGATGTCTAAATCATTCATCCAAGCTACTTACAAGACGTTGGAGACATGATGCTTTCAGCTGTTCGGCAACAGTTTAAGGTGTCTTGTCTTGATAAGGGATAGAGAATTAAAGGAATGCTGCACTTTCATCCCTATTTCCATAATCCTGTTCCTGCACTTTTCTAAGTGACTTTGCTTTAAACTCCTGGTCACTTACCAGGATTCACATCTTTACCTGTATTATTTTTAACTCATTTTGGAAAGTGCAAATTTTCTTATTACAACATGAGGTCTGATCACGTGCTATATGGGCAAAAGTTTGTGGACCCCCTGACCATCAACCTACGGTATATGAGCTAGTTGGACATTACTGTACATTCAAAACCATGGTCAGTAATATAGCGCTACCCCTCCACCACCACTACTATTTCCAATACCAGTCTCATCTCTTTTGGGAAGGCTTTCTACAAGATTTTAGAGTGTGCCTGTGGGAATTGGTGTCGGTAATGTGAGATCAGGTGTTGATGTTAGACAAGAAGACCTGGCTTGCAATCTGTGTTCCAGTTCAGGTTTTACAGGATTAAGATCAAGGCTCATTGCAGGCCACTTGTGTTCCTCCACACCGAACGTGTCAAACCATTTCTTTATGGAGCTGGCTTTGTGTACAGGGTCGCAGTCATGCTGGAACAGAAAAGAGCTATCACGTACCTGGTGGAGGACCGATTAGCTGAGGAGGCCTCCCTTGCGGCTCTTGTCTCACACCCCTGGATGTGGAAACAGGGAGCGAGTAGACAGAGAGAAGCACGGGTGCCAAAAAGTTCAGACACGGTGCCTGGTAGAAGTCCGGCAACTGGATCCCTGGAAGGATGAGCAGGGCTGGTGCACAGCTGTGATGTCAGCGAAGTTTTAGCAGAAACTGGAGCAAGGTCAAACCAGCCAGGGGACAAGCCAGACTGTCAGCACAGTACAGAAGGAGTAGGCAGAGGCAGAGTCCAGATAACAAGCAGAGGTCAGGGGCAGGCAGCAATCAGTCGAAGTCAGCAGCAATCCGTGTTGAGATAACAGGCAACAGATCAACAGGAACACAAGCACAAGCTGAAAGACCGTTCAGCACTGACCCATTGGGCCAGCTGGTTTAAATAGGAACATCTATTAGAGGGCCGTGAGTCATTTCCTGTGTGCCACTGTGTCACTTCCTGTGTGCAACATTCCGTTGTGTGCGCATGCGTTCTAACGCATGTTTTCCGGCAACCCGGAAGACTAGGACCCGCGCATGCGTAGTAGCGCGCGAGCTCCAGCTATGGCCTTACAAGAGCCTTCATCAAGCTGTTACCAGAAGGTTGAAAGAGCACAATTGTCTAAATTGTGTTTGTGTGCTGTATGTATAGTAATGATACCTTTCACTAGAAACACTTGAACTCACTTCTCTTCACCTCTCAGTGGTCATAAGGTTATTGCTGATTGGTGTACACTGTGCAACATGATGTGGTGATTATTAGGAATATATAGCTATAGATATGCTGTAGCATTAACTGTACCCTTCAGTGGAAACACCTGAGCTCCATAA